ACCCCAAACGGACCATTTCCGAATTATGCCCAGCAATAGAAATTTTCTAGGTTCAAAAAAGCGTTCAAAATTAGCCATTTTGCTTCCAGAATCTTTCCTATGCTGGGCATAATTCCTATTTTTATAGGGAAGGTGTCTTTTGACCCCCTTGACCCAAAACGGACCATTTCCGCATTATGCCCAGCTATAGAAACTTTCCAGGTTCAATAAAGCGTTCAAAATTAGCCATTTTGCGTCCAGGATTTTTCCTATGCTGGGCATAATTCCTATTTTTACAGGGAAGGTGTCTTTTGACCCCTTTAACCCAAAACGGACCATTTCCGAATTATGCCCAGCAATAAAAAATTTCCTGGTTCAAAAAAGCGTTTAAAATTGGCCATTTCGCCTCTGGGATCTTTCCTATGCTGAGCATAATTCCTATTTTCACAGGGAAGGTGTCTTTTGACCCCCTCAACCCAATATAGACCACCTCCGAATTATGCCCAGCTATAGATAGTTTCCAGGCTCAAAAAAGCGATCTAAATTTTCCATTTCGCCTCCAGGATCTTTCCTATGCTGAGCATAATTCCTATTTTCACAGGGAAGGTGTCTTTTGACCCCCTTAACCCAAAACAGACCATTTTCGAATTATGCCCAGCAAAAAAAAAATTCCTGGTTCAAAAAAGCGTTCAAAATTGGCCATTTCGCCTCTAGAATCTTTCCTATGCTAGGCATAAATCCTATTTTCACAGGTAGGGTGTCTTTCGACCCCCTTAACCCAAAAAGGATCATTTCCAAATTATGCCCAGCAATAGAAAAGTTACTGGTTTAAAAAAGCGTTCAAAATTGGCCTTTTTGCCTCCAGAAGCTTTCATATGCTGGGCATAATTCCTATTTTCACAATGAAGGTGTCTTTTGACCACCTCAACCCAAAATGGACCAGCATATGAAAGCTTGTAGAGGCGAAATGGCTAATTTTGAACGCTTTTTTGAACCAGGAAATTTTCTATTGCTTGGCATAATTCGGAAATGGTCCGTTTGGGGTTGAGGGCGTCAAAAGACACCCTACCTGTGAAAATAGGAATTATGCCCAGCATAGGAAAAATCCTGGAGGCGAAATGGCCAATTTTAAACGCTTTTTTGAACCAGGAAATTTTCTATTGCTGGGCATAATTCGGAAATGGTCCGTTTTGGGTTAAGGGGGTCAAAAGACACCTTCCCTGTGAAAATAGGAATTATGCTCAGCATAGGAAAGATCCTGGAGGCGAAATGGCCAATTTTGAACGTTTTTTTTACACCTTGAAACTTTCTATTGCTGGGCATAATTCGGAAATGGTCCGTTTTGGGTTAAGGGGGTCAAAAGACACCTTCCCTGTAAAAAAAGGAATTATGCCCAGCATGGGATAAATCCTGGAGGCAAAATGGCTTATTTTAAACGCTTTTTTGAACCTGGAAACTTTCTATTGCTGGGCATAATTCGGAGATGGTCCATTTTGGGTTGAGGGGGTCAAAACCCAAAGAGGAGCGGTACGTGGATTCAACGTTGATTCCTCGTGGAATCGTGGAAATCTCGTGGACGTGGATACATCCACGGTATTTCAACCACCCTTGGCCTTGTTCTCTTGATCACTTTTAAATGCAGAACGATAACTTATTACTGAAAAGAGATGGATAATTTCGCCTTTTGTGACATTCGTTCATTTAAACTCAAATTGGTGGATATCACGTGGATTCCAGGTTTTTTCCCCCAACAAGCAACAAAAAAAAAACAAAAAAAAACTTATGATAAGCTAGTAGTTATTGCTAAATTTGGTATATAATTGTACAGTTTTCTCGGAGAGTTGCATTTTGTTTTGTTTTTCACGATTCATGAAATAACGTGGAAATAACGTGGAATCCACGTGATATCCACTTTACCGTCTATTGCGTTCAACGTTAAAAATAGTGTTCAAAGCTTTGTACACATAATCGAACAAATTTTTAAATTTTGTCAAGGAAGTACAATTATTAATTAAATTCAAGGCTATACTTTTGAACGTACAACGCACAACGCCCTATAAGCCAGAGAGCTGGCTTGGGCGCTGTGCGTGTGCTTTAGAAAGGCATCGGTAGCTGGCGTTCCTCTTCCAGCAGCGTCACCGTAGGGTAATGGATAGGGTACAAGACAACTAACTCAAAGGTCCCAGGTTCAACTCCACTCAAGATTGGAAAAAAAAGTTTTTGAATCGACATGATTTCCACGTCGAAATGTCGTGGATAAAGGAGTCAAATCCACGTGGATATCACGTGGATACTCGACGTTGAATCCACGTCACAAATCTACGTGGAATCCACGTTTCTTCCACCAAAATTCCTCTTTGGGAAAGACACCTTCCCTGTGAAAATAGGAATTATGCCTAGCATAGGAAAGATTTTAGAGGCGAAATGGCCAATTTTGAACGCTTTTTTGAACCAGGAAATTTTCTATTGCTGGGCATAATTCGGAAATGGTCCGTTTTCGGTAAAGGGGGTCAAAAGACACCCTACCTGTAAAAATGGGAATTATGCCCAGCATAGGAAAGATTCTAGAGGCGAAATGGCCAATTTTGAACGCTTTTTTGAACCTGGAAACTTTCTATTGCTGGGCATAAATCGGAAATGGTCCGTTTTGGGTTGAGGGGTTCAAAAGACACCTTCCCTGTAAAATTAGGAATTATGCCCAGCATATGAAAGCTTCTGGAGGCAAAAAGGCCAATTTTGAACGCTTTTTTAAACCAGTAAATTTTCTACAGGGTGGCCGCTCTGCCCCGTCATTTTGAAAAGGTAGACTAGCCCGCTTGCAGACGGAGAGGGGAGGTGAGAGGGGACTGGAGAGGTCGTGCGGGCGGGCTAGTCTACCTCTTTTAAAAAGACGGGGCAGAGCGGCCACCCTGTATTGCTGGGCATGATTTGGAAATGATCCTTTTTGGGTTAAGGGGGTCAAAAGACACCCTACCTGTGAAAATAGGAATTATGCCCAGCATAGGAAAAATCCTGGACGCAAAATGGGTAATTTTGAACGCTTTTTGGAACCTGAAAACTTTCTATTGTCGGGCATAATTTTGAAATGGTCCGTTTTGGGTTAAGGGGGTCAAAAGACACCTTTCCTGTAAAAATAGGAATTATGCCCAGCATGGGATAAATCCTGGAGGCAAAATGGCTAATTTTGAACGCTTTTTTGAAGCTGGAAACTTTCTATTGCTGGGCATAATTCGGAGATGGTCTATTTTGGGTTGAGGGGGTCAAAAGACAACCTACCTGTGAAAATAGGAATTATGCCCAGCATAGGATAAATCCTGGAGGGAAAATGGCTAATTTTGAACGCTTTTTTGAACCTGGAAATTTTTTATTGCGGGGCATAATTCGGAGATGGTCCATTTTGGGTTGAGGTGGTCAAAAGACACCTTCCCTGTGAAAATTGGAACTATGCCCAGCATATGAAAGCTTGGAGGCAAAAAGGCCAATATTGAACGCTTTTTTGAACCAGGAAATTTTCTATTGCTGGGCATAATTCGGAAATGGTCCGTTTGGGGTTGAGGGCGTCAAAAGACACCCTACCTGTGAAAATAGGAATTATGCCCAGCATAGGAAAGATTCTAGAGGCGAAATGGCCAATTTTGAACGCTTTTTTAAACCTGGAAATTTTCTATTGCTGGGCATAATTCGGAAATGGTCCGTTTCGTGTTTGGGAGGTCTTGTTAGCCTTTTTTTGATTTTTTTTTATTTATTTTTTTTGAAAAAATAGATGTCGAAAATTTTTCTGGTTAGAAAATTTTTCAAGCCAACTTTATCCCGGTCGGATCATACCGTTTGTTCAGCTTCCCCACAATATGACCCAGCATTTCTGCGTTTAGGCGTTTCTTTTCCTGTTTAAAATAAAAACAAAATAAAAAATAAAATAAATTTGGCTGGCTTGAGGGCTGAGCACAGGGGGGCTAGGAGACCTTGAATTGTGCCCACCAGGTGGAGGTGGCGGTGCAGGAATGGCCTGTAGAGGGTCCTGGTTTGCTTGCTTGTCTCCAGCTGTAGACCAAACATCATGAGACTAAGTACTAACAGTTGTTGTTCCTGGCTGACGAACCTCTGACGCTTGTGCCTTCTGGGGTGGCGGCGGGGGAGGGGCGGCGCTCTGCATCTCGAGACGGCGCTGAACTTCGTCCACAGACACTCGAAGCAAGGATCCATCATGTAGCAGCACTACATATATCTTTTCTCCTTGATGTTCCTTGATTGAACCTGGTTGCCAAGAACAGCTGTTAGCCTGGCGTTTTAAAGCCCAAACAAGAGTACCTGGTGGTAAGGGTGGTGAAGTTGGCCGTTCAGAGGTTCTGGATGCAGCAACAAGGCACCGGCACAGTGCGGCTAAAGTGTTTCAATTGTAGAGGGGTGGGGGCTGGGAGTGGGGTGGGTATGAGAGGGAAGTCCTCCACCCGCGAAGGGAGGGACGCAAGGGACTAGCGCTCCTCGCGGCCACAACTTGCATCTGTCATCCCC